TGCATGCCCTACAAGAACCCCTTTTATTAGTGGCTGTCTAAAAAACTTATTTACTTCCGCACCTTTTGTTCAGACCGTTTTCAGATCCGTAGCTGAAGATAACAGCCGCATGTGGACTAGACAAAAACCGTTATGACTATGACCACTTGCATGAGAACGCGCTATATCCGCTTGTCTTCTATTCACACACACACACACACCTTAATAGATTGTTAGCCCGTAATCAATAGAATTTGTTCTCGTCATATCCAATGTCGCATGAATACGTTCCTGATTGTGGGTGACAGCTTTGGGGAGTACAATATTTCGAATTGTTTCTTTCACTCGTCGGTGAAATCTCGCTACGAGAATAATATTACGTGTTGCGAAGAAGATTCAATCAGGAAACATTTCACCTTAACAACCGACGCTATCACCTGTTCTTTCGGCAATGATATATGTTTCACGATCAAACGTTTCAAAAATAATGACGACCCTTCACAAATTTGTGCTCGAATTCCTTCCCCCAAAAATACGATCTATCGATGCGAACCTGCATGAAAAATGAGATGTTTTTAACAACGTCACGTGAAGTTTTGACTCTCAATGAGATTGTTTGTATAACAACGTGAAGAATTCAAATGCATACAAGATATAGTATCTTAAAGAGTCCTTTGCTACGCTTTCCTCGAGATTTGTGGAACATATTGGTGTTCGCCCAGGATAAATTGTCGAAGGAACGTGAAGAATTTGGTTTCATGTTTCCATCATTTACATTTAATATTCTCTTTGATTTTCTGAGATATCGGTGGTCCGGTTGGTTGTTTGCTCTTCAGTATTCGCAAAACGTGAGCTCAATACCTCAATGTTTCAATTGTCGTTTATTTTTTTAATTATCTTGACGATTTATTTTTAACACTGTACATACAAGAAATGATTTTAAATTGATCATTAAAAATATGATTAATTTGAACTTTATGTAATTGATCATCATGTACAGGAAGAGCCGCCCATAGGTCTCCTGCAGAGCGTAGAATGTGGCACGGTGATTGGCATGGAAGAGAGAACGTCTCTCTCCGCGAGGCAGGCAACCCAGGCTCTCGCAAACAGTGATCTGTTCGCTAATTGGATAACTGTCTCCCATTCTTCTGCGCGGTAGAAAAGTGTGCCGGTTCATTACGTGCGTCGCGCATTGCAGTTGGGCAAGAAACTGGTTGCTGCGCGTTAGGAGATCGTTCCAAGAAGTAAAGATTCTGTTTAAACATCAGGTATTGTTTTTATAGTTGGGGCGCAGTCTAAAGATCTGTTCAAATTACTTGAGATGAATGTTGGTATGGAACAAAATAATATTTCAGGGAGAAAATGTATTATTTGTTTTGAGAGAGTTTTCTAACTTGCCCTTGTCACAACTGCCCAATGGTTTTCATTTTCGTAACCAATTGGAAGACCTATTTATAGTAGGTGGAGATTTTAATGCTAAAAATACCTATTGATGTTCTAGATTAACAAAAACAAAAGGTAAAGAATTATTAAGTGCCATAAAAGTAATTAGTGGCTAATCTCTATCAACTGGTAAACCTACGTACTGGCCAACCGACCCAGATAAAATCTCAGATCTCACCCTAATAGATGTTTTAATAAAAAGACTTATCGTCTAAATACCTTCAAATTGAATAATATCCCGCTTAAGTTCAAAGCATTCTCCAATTATTCTAACTGTACGTGACTTTTTGATTCACAAACAACCCTAACCAGTACTAGTTAACAATCGTACGGACTGGGAATCCTTTTATTAATATTTAGAAGTAAGAAATAAATATCCATGTTACATTACAGACTAATGAAGAACTAGCTAACGAGCTGGAAATTTTACAAAAAATATTTAGCAGTCAGCTTGGAGAAGTACTCCAGAAATCAAAACAATAATAAAAGGGAACAAGTACGCAGAAGACTCTGAGCACGGGCAACTCTGGACCTAGGGACATGGCGTCAAGATTCCTCCCATTAACCAACTGGAGGTGCTAACGAATGCCACAGACTTTCTAGCTCTAGTTAGTTTTCAAATATTTTTAGTCTAAGCTAGCTTTACGGTATTGCCCCATCCTCTTCCAGGTATATCAGGGCCAAAATATGTTCTGGTCTTTTTTCTTGGCCGAAATTTTGCCATATTTTCTCTCTACTTTGGTCTCCTAATAGTATAATTGAAATGTGTTTTGAAATGATGTTTCGGAAGAATAATATAGCAAATTTTCACTGAATAATTTTGAGCTATTCTTGAGAAAATGTCATTGGAACGTTTCTAAAAATGCGAAGTTTTGTGTCATTTTCACTGAGAAGTTTTGAGTTTTCGAGAAACGTCATAAAAATGATTTCGAGTACCTGTGTTCACAAATGCAATAATGCAAAATAAATGCGGGCAATCAACGAGGTGTTATTTAAAAAAACTACAATTATAAAATTTAAAAAATCAAAGCGGCGTTAATGTTATTTTATTTAGTGCATTTAGCATTACTCTACAAAAAGTTTGAAGTGAACCATTTGGATCAGTTTTTCAGAAAATATCGTTCAAGCGTTTCTGAAAATTCGGAATTAGAGTTCCTTTTCACATTTCCCCCATCCCTCCCATTTCATTTCCGAGCTGTCTCTAATAGAAAATTCTGATTTGGATCCCTCTCTCTCTTTTTGAATATACCTCGAATATATAGATTCCTTAAATTGTTCTCTTTTGACTACTTTCTATTCCCACAATGAGTATTTCTTTCTCCTCCCCCCTTTTCTAAAATGCATCAATTCACAATTTCCATTCCCCTAAAACCTAATAATATCTCTAGCCATTACATCATCAGCAACGTAGCTCTCCTTAGCTATCAAAATCATTTTGTCTACGAATGCTAGCACACCAAACGTTCCTTTATCAACCACTGCATTATACGTTATCCAAATGATTGTTATTTTTTATTAACGCCAAAGAGACGTTTCACTCGACATTCTATCAGTTGAGGGAATGAAATTGGTGCAATAGCGTAGCGTCAAAGGACGCGAGTGATGAGTTGCATCCCTTTGTTATTCGGTTGCTTTTATGATTTCTAATATTTACAGAATATCTTTCTCATTTTCTCTGTGCAAAAATAGATTGTCCTTTCTTTGGGCGCTTCAGACCACTGTATCGGTTACAGTATCTGGTTTTATAACACTGTGGTTTCGCATAAGGGAGTCATATCCGTTTCCTATTCTGCTGCAAGGCCAATAACCTTCAAGGAGATTGCTTACTGAGGATATGGACGTACAAATATGTGATTGATGCGATTCCGGAAACACATTTGGTATCCAAGCTTCGGCTCCAATAATTTCATACATCATCCTCCAGGCGCGGTAATATATGGACTTCGCGAAAGAAGATCAAATTTTCTTCACCACGGAGAGCTTTCATAGCAGTTAAACAACTTAATTACAGACATGAAATCCGAAAACGCGAAAACAGACATGTAGTAAAAATGACTCATCTCAAAAAATTTTAATTTTATATTACGATTCGAAATTTTATTTGTAATTTTGTAATACCGATTATTTGTATTTGTCTGTTGACAGCATTTCATAAAAAAAGATTTTTCGAAAAAATTACGGAAAATTCAAACGTAAATTCAATATATTTACATTTAATTTTTATTAATGATGTAACGTATTAACATAGTGCATTTTTATTAAACAAATAACAAGAGCATTTAGGTGTTTTTTTTCTTTTTTTTTACAACACAGGCTTAAGTGAGATTGTTTTTTCTTGGCCTGAATCATTTGCTGAACAATTAAAACAGTATTTGCGCCATATTGAAATTTCTTCCTCCTTGTTCTCATTATTCTTTTATGATAAATTTATTCTTCGCCTAACATCTTGGAAATGCTTTTTCGCACGTCTTGTCACAGCTGAAGATTCAGTAATCATCTTTCCAATTATTCCCGTACAAGACTTTTGGCCAAACTTAAAAAAAATTGAATCTCTGCTCGTTTTGATATGAATTAAAACATTACTTAAGACGTATCACAACAGTTTAAAAAAAATCAAAAGTGTGTATTAAGCCCTTCCTGATAGGGGTAATTCGATACATTGATGGGGCTAAAGTGATACAGCTTAATATCTCAATGAACTTTGATTGGGTATCAAAGCGAACTACAGTGAAACACCTTAGGGGTAGGGGTCTCAACAGTAGTTTTGTTTTCATTTTTTATCTTTTGATGTGCTCAAATACTGTAACATTTTGGTATTCTGCTATATGATCATTAATAATATATATTTCCCATTATTTGCTATTTTTATTAATTTTGGATACCAATAAGTACCTAGACAATGCCGTCTTGGTACTAGGTCTCAGTAAGTACTGAAGGCAACCAGTGTTTTATTGACAAACCATTTCCTACTTTTTATCGCATTCCCTACTCGATCTTTCAGGAGACGCCACTGAATTGGTGGATTCATTTTACCCAAGTGTTATTTGCTTTCTGATTTTAATGTTAATATACCTTTTAAAAGGTGCTTACTACTGTTTTCAAACATTTTCTATTATTTCCATGCTCTCATATAGCGCTAAAAAAACATTATAAATGTTATTTTGACCAATAACATTTCTAATGAAAATAAAAACACATAACAATAAAATATATTATTTTGGTGATCATAATTGCAAAAGTCTTTAAAAGTTTTATATTAGAAACTTGGTTTCTTCAAGGAGTAATTAAATTGTATTGCCACTCTTTCTGTCAAGCAAAATGTTTACTAGCGTTATGCAGACATCTCGTAATTTCACGATGTAATTTTGTTTACTTGTCTCCAGACACCAGTAGTGACGTATTCTCCAAACAACGTAATATGAGACATGTCCTACATGTCAAATTAAATTCGTTGCCCTTGGTAATGAAGTAAACAAAACAAAAATCTTCCTTCATGTTTAACTGTATCGGGTTATAGTGCCGTGGATTTTGGGGTTGGTGAAACTTTGTGTACGTGTGGTACTGAAAGCTAGTCAGAGATGATGGCACCAAGAGTTATCAGAGGCCAAGGAGCATCAGAAGACATCAAAAAACGAACATCATCTGTCGATTCTGGTAAGCATCCATTGCAGAACTCTTGGACGTTGTGGTTTCACAAGACAGAGAGATCTAGATCATGGGACGAGAATTTGAGACCTGTAATTAATTTCCATACCGTTGAGGATTTCTGGGGAGTGTTCACACACGTGAAGCCAGCTAGCCAACTATCCGATGGTTGTGATTATTGTGTTTTCAAAGAAGGCATAGCCCCAATGTGGGAAGATAAAGCTAATCGAAGAGGTGGAAGGTGGGTTATGAAATTACCACGGGCTGACAGATCCAGTAAACTGGACACCTTGTGGGAAGAAACACTAATAGCAATGATCGGAGAAGACTTCTTTAATCACGGAGCAGATGTCTGTGGAGCTGTTATTAATATTCGTTCTGGCTTCGACAAGATTTCTATCTGGACCAAAGATGCCAGAAACAAGCAGAGTATACTTGCGATTGGATGGAAATTAAAAGAATGCTTGGGCTTGGGACCAAGTATTCCACTTGCTTACCAGGCTCACGTGGATACAATCATGAAACAACGTCCTTATGGTAAGAACGACAATTAAATCTACTTCAAAATCGTATCAGTAGTAAAAATGTGAGAATTTTATTAATACTTGTAAAAACTCCATCGTCACATTGTCTATCTAGAATTTAAAATGTAATTCTGTGATGATGAGAATGCATTACTGCAATAAATCAGTATAATTGCCACGAGACTTGCAGTGTGAACTGTCAGCCAAAACGTTAGAATTATGTAAAGAAACGAATAGCAAGGCTTTTCAGCATGTTTCGCACAGTATAACAAGATCAGCACAATGAAGTTTTTAACTTGCATATTAACTCGTTGATATATGCACAAGATTCTGATACCTACATGCCTGCATATTTGTAAAACATGTGACAACTTGATTCCACAAGTCACAAAGTCAATTGTACCATTACGTACTAAAGTAAGAATAAGATAATTGTAAGAATTATGATAAATGTATTTTGTAACTCCTGGAATACGCTCGATACGATTCGTCAATTAAAAACTAATTCGTAATCTTGAAATGTGTCTCAATCAATTAACGTAGATATTGAGTATTTTTTCGATATTTTCGATTCTTTAATTTAATTTCACAGAAACTGAAAATTTTCCTGAATGTACTGATTGTATTCATTGAACATCTCAACTTTTGGTGCGACATCTTTCCTAAGCTCTATATTGTTGAGTTGTAAAAAACTGTAGTAGAGTTGTACGGATTGTTCATATAAAATTAACGTAGAATGTATAACTATAAACGTTTAATACAACTATTTACTAAACGTAAACTATTACTATAAACGTTTTAAATTAATTCTAGGTCATTTCTTGAACCACTTTCAGTAACAAGTTCGTTTGAAAATCCATAACATTAAGTATTTTATTTCGAATTAAATAAGTAATATTTTAGTCAGAATATTGTAGGGGACTCTGATGTATTACCACTCAACATTTTAATTCATTTTAAGTATATTTCACATTTCTTTTATTTTTCTTGTTTTCAAAATATGTCATTATATAAAGAATCATATTTTGTATTGGATCATATTCTTCAAATGACTGACGTTTAATGCATTTTGCATTTTGGAAAGAAAATACGAAATTTGAAAGACTTCGGGGGAACATGATGGTCTTGTATCATTGGGTACAACCTCGTGTACTAGACAACTTCTGTTTTTCGAGTGAATTTACAGATGCCTAGGGATTTTTTCACTTTACCGGATAATCCCCTTAACGTTTATAAAAATAAAATTTATGTATTCCTATTCTTATTATTAACTTTCAATTTTACAATTGTTCAACAAATTCTATTAAATATTTTACTTAATATTTATATATTTTAAATACTTTTAGTAGCAGTCATCAAGTACATGCACATAATTTCAGGATGTGCATGTCATGGAATAATTATATTCTAGAACGTTGTGTAAATTAATTGTAAGTTTTTTCGTCGAGGGGTTACCTGGTTTTGGTAGTTTTCAGCTGGATTTGGTGATTCACAAATTCTCCAGACCGACATTCTCCAGACAAGATCTCCAGACCGACATAAATAAATTTGTTTCCGCAATACTTAAAAAAACTTGACATTCAGAACCTACATTAAGAACACCTCACTGGTTAACAAAGGATTTGCCTAAACTTTTGCATGATTCTATAGTATTTTTACACGAGAAATCCAGCCACGCTATTAAAATGTTGCTATCACATATAGTTTTGGAGATATTATTATCAACGTTCTCGTTAAATTGGTTATTTTTGCAATTACTGCGTTTAAGGTGTTATTATTGATTATTTATAAGAATAAAATAACAGGTGCGTTTAAATAACGGTATTCAGTTCGTGATTCTTCAGAGGATTGGGGAAGGAGACAGTCCTGTCAAGACAGTAGACATGACGCGCCCTGCACATTTAGTAGCAGATCACTGCATTATTTCACTACATCTTCTAGACTCGTGAAGTGTTTACATTAACATCGTTCTTTACTAGTAATATTTATTGATTTGTGTGTGACAACTTAAATATGCCACGAAAATGCCTAAACCATGCGGATATTTTCTGAGTGGTGAGTTTAAACAGCAAGGGAGAAACCTCACTCCTTTTGTTGGAAAGTTTTTTATTTGGGTTGCAAAGTCTAGATTTGGGCTCCTCACGCCCGTTGTGTTTGAGGAATTTAACAGGGGGGCGGACGGTTTTCGTCATTTTCCATTTGTTATTCCCATGGTATGGAGAAACCCGAAATATTATTCTTCGGGCTCTTTGAGTTTTGTTTAACAAATAAACTGGATTCTCAAAAAAGTCAAACATCCCAATATATCTACAGCAATTTGACCTGTTTTCCACAGTGACGTTATCCCAATACCACCATATCCAGAATCTGTCAATGAAATTAAAAATTCCAGTTCAGAATAATATCATCAGACTGCAAATTACGATGATGGTCTGCACAATCCATTTGAGGTTTCCAGTATGACTAATTTCTTAGCACAAAGATATCTAAATTTAGCGATGAAGTAGCCAGAACTTTTGGGGTAACGACTAAAAGGGTGGATCCTTCTTCATCCCGAAAGACGGGTATGCTATTTTCGAAATCGTCAAGAGGTATTTAATTTTTTACCCCAAGAAGTTGATGTAGTGTGAACTGAAATAACATTTCATCAGTGCTAGACCTTTTAGGGCATACTCATAATTCAGATGAATAGCGTATGTTTATTATTCGTCAAAAATTATCTTAAAAGCTGTCATTCTTCTCAATGTGAATAGATTGCCATCAGTCCCACTTTCCCCCGCCCATACCATTGCCCCTATGAAAGAAACCTAAGGAAATAATTCTAGAGGAGATTCATCATGAAAAATGTACCTGGAACATATTTGGAGATCTTGAGGTGATTGCTCCACTTTTAGGTTTACAGACTTCATACACAAAATGTTTTTGATGTGAGTACGACAGCAGGGATCGTAAAAATCACTTCAAAAAGATGACTTGGCTTTCACATAAAATTTCCACACCAGGTGAAAAAAATGATACGAGTTGATAGAAAAAATATTTCTCTCCCATCTCTTCATATTAAATTTGGTTTGGTAAAGAATTTTTGAAAGCCACGGACAAATATGGAAGGGTTTTTTTTTTGTATTTGTAAGATAAGTTTCCGAAAATTAGTGATGCGAAAATTAAAGAAGAAATATTCGTCAGACCGCAAATAAGAGAACTAGTGAAAGATGCACATTTTGAAGGAAGGTTAAACGATTTCGAAAAATGTACATGGATTTCCTTCAATAATTTGGTTGAACACCTTTTTACCAGCAAAAAATCTGAAAACAATAGGGAACGACGAGAGGCGTCCAATAAGTTCCTGGAATGGTAGTTCACCATACTAATGTTATAATCTATGGTAGTAGTAACCAAATCCCCTTCGAAATAGGATCCTTGCGCATTGCTACATCACGACTGCCATTGTTGGAAGGAGCAGTAGAAGGGTTCTTTTGGCCCTTGTTGGAGCTGAGCCACCGCACTCGACTTCATGTTCCCCACGACTGCAAAACGTCTCTTTTCGACGTCGGTTTTCAGAGTAGGGAATAGTCAATAGTCTCTTGAAGCAATATCCAAAAAGTACGGTGGTTGAGGAAAGACAGGACTGGAATTGGCGAGACATTCCTGTACAACAAAGCGATATGTGACTTAGCGCGTTATCATGTTGCAGACGCCACTTTCCTTGCTACTCATCCTTCGAACCGCATCAGGCAAACTCTGCAAAACTTGCACATAGAAATGTTCAGTAACTGACTATCCAAGCGACGGTGTAGCAGAACCGATATCGTCTGCGAAGCCGTTTTTCCCAGTTGTCACATGAACTTGATGTTCGCAGCTGTTCGAACTGTGACACAACGGCGGCGGAACACCACTCACCTCCAGATGACACGGAACAGTGACACCATTGCGCACTAAATCACCTCCAGACCAATTTGGATCGCATGCCACCATGCCCAGTCGCCTGCTACAAGCGTGTGGTAGGGGGATGGGT